CGAAAACCTTTGCCCCCCCCCCCCCCCGCCCCCAGCCTCACCAGCCGCTGTCGTTCTGCTCCGCGGCGTAGAAGCAGACCCACTGCGGGCGGCAGCGGAAGAGGACGCTGGAGTGGTGTATGCGCAGCTTGACCGCGGCAGCGCTGCCGCCTGCCGAGCGCACCAGGCGGTACACGGAGGCCCCGGTGTCAGCCTGGTCTGCAGGAGGTTGGGCAGAAGGGTGGGCAGGCGGGGGCAGGTCACAGTAGGTTGGGGCAGGTCGCGGCAGGCGGGCGCACGTGACACCAGGGGCACACGGGGCAGAGCAGGCACAGTAGGAAGGCGCACTCCCACCTGACAGCTTCACGGTAAGCTCTTCGGTCAGCTTGGCGGCGTTGATGAACATGCCGGCCGCGAGCGCCTTGCGCACTGCACAGGAAGAGGGGAGGGGCGCATCCTGTGGTCAGAGGCAGCGCGGACCCGGCACACCGCCAGAACAGCCTCGCCCAACGCACGCAGCCTCCGCAGCACAGCGGCTGGCATGGCCCCGCCCAGGCGGCAGCGTGCGCATCCTCCGCAGGGCACAAAAGGGTGGCAGGCGGCGTAGCGTGCCATAGCACATGCTGGCAGTCCACTCACCAGTCTCCAGCTCCTCATCATGGTCGAACGAGGTGGCACCTTCCAGGGCTGAAGCCTGCTTGATGCCCTGCCGCCGCAGATGGGCTTGCAGCTGCGGAGGCACAACCAGGGCAGCTCAGGGCAGGGGCTGGGCAGCTCGAGGCACGGGGCAGCCCGGCGCGGCCACGCCCCGGCGCCCCTCCAGACCCGGCGTCTCACCTGGTTGCGAATGTCGGCGGCCCGCAGCATGCTGCGGTGCATGACGTGGTTCTCTATCGCCCATTTCTTGCTGCGCCCGCTCTCCTCCCACCCCCGCCACACGTTCAGGTACGTCACGAGGTCCCCCTCGGCCACAGCAAACCTGTGCACCACGGGGGAGCGGCGGCGGCAGCCGAGGCTTGTATGTGCAGGGCTGTTTTGTGCTTTGTGCGCTGGCGCGCAGACGCGCACGCTGCGCGGAAAGCAGCACAGGGCAGCGCAGGCGGCTTCACGCCCACCTGGCCTTGGCCTCGTCCACCCCCCGCCGCCCTCCCGGCGCCCACACGCTTTGCACGCTCCACGGCACCAGCGCGCCAGCAACGTCCCGTTGGCTGCCCCAAGCGGCCCCGTCAATTTCCAGCCAGGGCAAATGCCGGCAAGGAACCGCACCTTAAACGCTCCCAAGGCAGGCAGCCCGGCAGGGTAACAGGGGCGGCAAGCCAGTTAAAAAAGAAGTACCAGGCTGTACCAGCTTCACCTGAGCATCGCCACCACCGTCAGCACCTTTGCCGTGCACCCCATCTGGCCGGCAGCCAGCAGCATGCGGGCAAGCACTGGGTCCAGAGGCAGGTCGGCCATCTGCGCGCCCAGCGGCCGCGCCAGGCGGGCGTCGCCGTCCAGCGCGCCCAGCGCGTGCAGCGACTCCAGCGCTCGGATCATGGTCTGCGAGAGGTGATGGTTGTGATGGCAGCGAGTGTGTGTGAGCAGCGGCAGGCAGCAACCCGGCATGGCAGGGCCTACGGCTGGCGGCGCCACCACCCAGCCAGCATGCCACCACCACGCCACCACCACGCCGCCCGGCCCGGCCTCCCAGCCACCCGCCGAGCCACCCGCTCGCCTCTGCGGGGGGCGGCGCCAGCCACTCAAAGTGCATGATGTTGTCTATGCCCAGAGACTTGAGCTGCAGCACGGTGCCAGACAGGTCGCTGCGCTGCATCTCGGGGACTGCGGGCGGGCGGCAGGGCAGAGGTCGAGCGTGTGTGTTGCGTTGCGGTGTGGTGTGGTGTAGTGTGGCTATGGTGGTCTTTGTGTGTGTGTGCGCTGTGGCATTGCACAAGGCGGAGCTCGGGAGTAGACCAGAACCCCTCGCTTGCATCCCACCCCACCTGTGGTGGCTGGTAGCTTCTGCTCAAAATCCCCCTCGGTGCACAGCCGCAGGCAGTGGCCCGGCCGCACGCGCCCTGCGGCCCCGAGCCCGCAGCCAGAGCGTGTGTCAGCAGGCTGCCGCATGCTTCACAGTATGGGCCGCCCCGCCGCAGCAGCAGCTGGCCTTCTCCTCCTCCTGAGCAGCAGCAGCTGGCCCTTTCCTCAGCAGCAGCAGCAGCGGCGGCAGCAGCAGCGGCAGCAGCAGCGCCCAGCCCCAGGCAGAGCCCCACCTGCCCGCCCCGCGCGCTGCGCCGCGCTGGCCTTGCTGATGGGCGCGATCAGCAGGCTCTCCAGACCCGTCAGCGGGTTGTAGCAGCGCTGCTTGGCGAAGCAGGAGTCTATGACGTACACGGTGCCCTCCAGGGTCACCGATGTCTCGGCTATGTTGGTGGCAACAACCACCTGCGGCACAGGGGGCCAAGGCAGCCCGGGCGGGCGTGTGGCGCATAGGTGCCGTCAGTGGGTTCTGCCAGCGGCGCGGGGCTGCCACGGCGCAACCTGGGACCCACAGCCCGGGATGGCATCAGGCTTGTAGCACACAACTGCCCGGCGCCCGGCGGCAGCCATGCCGCGCACAGCCCGGCACCCTCACCTTGCGCACGCCGCGCGGCGCGGGCTCAAACACGCCCAGCTGGTGCGCCGCGGGCAGCCCCGCGTACAGCGCCACGGCCTGCATCCTCAGCTTGAGCCTGCTGCGCTGCAGGCGCCGCCCCTCCTCATCCAGCAGCTTGACGGCTACGGCCAACGAGCGCAGGGGCGGGGGACAGGTGAGGCGGCGGCTGCCCCCACCGGTGCCCAGGCGCAGCAACGCCTTGCGCACGATGCACCAGCCGCACGTGTGGGTTGCATGGCTCGCACACCCCAGCGCCGAGCGCCGCCGCGGCAGCCGCACCGGGCAGCGGAAGGAATACCGCGACAGCCCGCCCCAGGCTCACCGGCCTCGCACTCGTCCTGGCCCGTCAGGAAGATGAGGATGTCCCCCGGCAGGTCCTCCCTGTGGATGTTGACAGCCGTCTCCACCGCCGCCTGTATATAGTCCGAGGCAGGCGCCTCCAAGTAGTGCACCTGCACGTTGTGGGTGCGCCCCTCCACTGCAGGCAGGCAGGCATGCGGCCGGGCAGGTGGAGCACGGCAGGGGGCATGAGCGTGCGGCGCCAGGAGCTGGAACAGGCAGCCGGAGGGAGGCGTGGCGAGGAGGATGCAGCCGCCTGGGAGCTGGGCACAGGCGGAGCAGGCGCGGCTCGGCGGGGGCGGGCAAGCACGGGCGTGCAGGCGCACCCGACAGGAGCGCGGGGCTGCGGCTGGGCGCCGCCCCCTGCTGCACCCCCTCGGCGTGGGCCCTGGGCCGCCGCACGTTGCTAGTGTCAAAAAACCTGCGAGGAGCCAGGGAAGGAGAAAGAATGGAATCAGCAAGCAAGACCGCGAGTGAGCTCCCGCCTAGGCTTCCCTCCAAGGCCACCGACTGCATTCTGGTTCCTCCTGCCCTCCCTACCCTCCTCCTGCCCCACACACACACGCCCACACATACGCACACGACGACTACCACCAGCACCGCCACCACACCACCACCACCCCCTCCTCCACACCCACCTGGCCATCTTCTCCGCCTCGATGGTTGAGGAGGAGATGATGACACGCAGGTCGGGGCGCCGCCGCTGGATCTTCTTCAGCAGGCCCAGCAGCACGTCGGTGGCCAGGCTGCGCTCGTGCGCCTCGTCCACCATCACGCAGCTGTACCTGTGGTACCGCAAGGGGGCAAACGCAGTGCTGGGAACCTGGCCGGACCCTCCACATACACGCATCCACACAAACCACACACACAAACACATGGCCACTGCCACCATCGACCCTGCCCATCCCCCACTTGAGCAGCACCGGGTCGTCCACTCGGCACTACCACCGCCACCACACACTGTCGCTGCTTGAACGAAGAAGAAAGAAAGGGCACACGGGCCGCCCCCGGCTCACTTGAGCAGCAGCGGGTCGTCCATCATCTCCCGCAGCAGCACGCCGTCTGTGCAGAACCGCACCCGCGTCACGCCCTGCACACAACAGCATGCGTGCAGCCACAGCGGGGCGCCACACGGTCGGGGCTGGCACCTGGCTGGCGCGCCATCACCCCCCAGCCAGCCAGGCAGCCAGCCAGCCTCGACACAGCCTCCGCCCACCCACCGGCGTGGACACGTCTTCAAAGCGGATGGAGTAGCCCACATCCTGGCCCAGGCGGCACCCCATCTCCTCTGCCACCCGGGAGGCCACCGTCATGGCCGCCACGCGGCGAGGCTGCGTGCACGCCACCAACTTACCGCCCTGCGTCCAGCCTGCGGCACGGCAGGCGGCACGGCGTCGCGGGCTGCTGCCGCGCTTGCCACGCCTCCTGGCACTCCGCCTCCCTCCTCCCGTCCCGCCCTCCCTGGACTGCAAACCTCGGCCCACCTGCTTCATGCAGGTACTGCGGGACCTGGGTGGTCTTGCCGCTGCCCGTCTCGCCCACCACCACCGTGGTGGCGTGCCCCTCCACTAGATACAGCAGCTCCGTGCGGTGCGCATAGATGGGCAGCCGCCGCCGCTGCTCCGAAATGGCCAGCCGCTCATTCTTGTTGAACACAGGCGCGGCGCCCGCCCCGCCAGCGTCGCGATCGACGTCGAAGGCCAGGCCGAAGGCGGAGGCGGACTGCTGGCCGGGCCGCAGAAAGCTGGTCATGGCCGCGGTGCCGCTGCCGCCGCTGCTGCCGGCCGCCGCTGGCCTGTCCGCTGCGGGTGCTCGCTGCCTGCCGCCGGGCTCCGAAGCGATCTCCCACCGAGCCCGTGCCTAGCAGACGCCCCTCAAGGGCGCAGGCGAGTGTGGAAGTCTGCAGAGAACGGTGATCGTCGGCAAGACGTGGTTACTGGAGTGTAGCGCTAGCTTGGATGGCTGGGACACCAGAGTACATGCTCAATTTTGTCCCAGTCGTGCTCAACTTTGGCAGAACTTCGCCTCTGCCACCTGGCCGCCGCCACGCAAGCCTCGATCAAACAATGGTTGATGAAACAGCCGATGACGACTGCCAAATAGATCTAAACAAGGATCGCACTGGTTCGCAGCAGCGCCGCAGTGCATGCAGTCGCATACAGCTGCCACTGAAATGAGCAGCACCGCGGGAGCGGCAGCATGCAGCACGGTCGCTGGGGCATGCAGCTGCCCAAGGACACGCGCATTGCGCCCCAGGCGGGCGGGCGCCGCCCCAACCCGCCGGTCGGTGGCGGCGGCCGGCGAGGGACGAAGCGCCAACCGGGCCAAGTGGGCCGCTAGCGACCTCGCCGGCAATGGCGCTGCCGCTGCGGCGGCAGCCGTGCTAGAATCGCCTGCGCAGCTGGAGCAGCAGGAGGGGCCGCAGCTTGATGCATCTGAGCTGGTGCGCTGCTGCCGGCATGCCGCCAGCCAGGCCGCCCTTATCGCTCATCTGCCCACCCAGGAGACGGATCAGCACCCCATGCAGCGCCCTGTTCTTCCTGCTGGTAACCTGCTCCCCCGTGCTGCCATCACTACAGGTGTGGTCTGCGGCAGACGATGGGCGGTCTCTGTTTGCCGACATCGACCGCCTGGTGCATACAAACTTGAGGCGTGTGCAGCAGGCGATGCGGCGGCACCGCATCGGCCCCCACCACTTTGCGGGCAGCACAGGTGGGCGGGCGGGCGGGCAGCTGTGCAGCCGGGCGGGCTCAGCAGGCCGCCGCCTGCCTCCGTTCGCTTGCCCACTACTCGACCTCTGCCCTTCCCCTACCTCACATGATCCCCTCCCTGCAGGCTACGGGCATGGCGACTTGGGCCGTGCCGCGCTGGACGAGGTGGTGGCAGAGGTGATGGGCGCAGAGGCGGCGGCGGTGCGCATCCAGTTTGTGTCGGGAACCCACGCCATCAGCAGCGCGCTGTTTGGCTGCCTCAGGTGCCGGCAGGCGGCCGCGCGCCTGCCCGCCTGCCTGCTCCTCCTGCCTGGCTGCCTGGCTAGGCAGCCTGCCTGTCGGCTGCTCCCTGTGGCTCCTGCTGCCAGCACAGCCTGCTGCTGCAGCCCGTTTCAACCGCTGCCGCCTCTGCCTGCCCGCCCGCCTGCAGGCCGGGCGACGAGCTGCTGGCGGTGGCAGGCAGCCCGTACGACACTCTTGAAGAAGTGATTGGGCTGCGTGGCACGCCCAGCATCGGCAGCCTGGCCGACTTTGGAGTGTCCTACCGCAAGCTTGACCTGGCGCCCAGCGGCAGCATCGACTGGGAGGCGCTCGCCTCTGCTGTGCGGCCAGGTGGGTGGCACCCAGGGGGCGCTGCGGCTGGCTGGCGGGGCTGGCCGCGCTGCATGTGTGGCCAGCCGCATGGAGGGCAGGGCAGCGGGTGCGGCAAGAGCAGGCACGTGGGACTTGAAACCGCCCCCTGGGTCACCGCCCTGCACACCTACCCTGCGCCACGAATGCCCCCGGTAACCGCCACGCGCACCCACCCGCCCACCACCACCACCGTCGCCGCCGCCGCAGAAACCAAGGTGGCGCTGGTGCAGCGCTCCTGCGGCTACGCGCTGCGCCCCACGCTGGGCATCGACGAGATCCAGCGGGCGGTGGCGGCCATTAAGGCGCAGAACCCGCGGGTCATCGTAGCCGTGGACAACTGCTATGGCGAGTTCACCGATGACAGGGAGCCGCCCGCGGTGAGGCCCCGTCCACCCGCGGCGCAGCCCTGCCGCTGCTGCCGCCCTGTTGCCGGCATGATGGTCTGCTGGCGCCCAATCCCGACCCACCTCTGCCTGCACCTCCACACGCTCGCTGGCACGTCGACCACCCATAGCAGCAGCACGCACATACGCTCAGGCACCCACTCCTTATCCCTCCCCACCCCCCCACACCCACACACACACCACACCATTCCTCCAGGTGGGCGCCGACCTGTGCATGGGCTCGCTGATCAAGAACGGCGGCGGCACCATCGTCAGCGGCGGCGGCTACGTGGCGGGGCGGGCCAACCTGGTGGAGCGGGCGCTGGCGCGCCTGACGGCGCCCGGCATCGGCAGCGATGCAGGCTGCGTGCCGGGGGAGACGCTGCGCCTCATGTTCCAAGGCGAGCGACGGCAGGGAGGAGGGGGTGGTGCGTGTGGTGCACGGTGGTGACGGTTGTGGCAGTGGTGGCAGCGGTGGTGGCAGGGAGGGGCGTGGGAGCTGGGCCCTGCACCGGGGGTGCAGGGCGGCGGCCAACCCTCGTTGACTGGTCCGGCCATCCGTCCGGCCACCCGGAGCGCCAGCCACGCCCAACTCTGCCCTTGGCCGGACCACCCGCCTGCAGGCCTGTGGCTGGCGCCCCAGATGGTGGGCGAGGCGCTCAAGGGCGGCCGCCTGGCGGCGCAGGTGCTGGGGAGGGAGGGGTACCAGGTCACGCCCGCGCCAGGACCGTGCACCCCCTGGTCCTTCATCACAGGTGGGTGGCGCCGCCAGCCGGCCGGCAGCTTCCCTTGCAGAGGGGCAGGTATCACCAGGTATTACCCAGGTATTCTGGCCCAGGCGGCCAGGGTCTGCAGCCCCGCAGGCAGCCTGCGCCGCACCACTGTCTTGCCGGCCGCTGGCGCTGAGTCTGGTTCTTGGCTCGCCGCTGGCTTCTTGCTCCCTTGTCGCAGCCGTGGAGCTGGGCAGCAAGGAGCGCATGGTGGCCTTCTGCCGCGCGGTGCAGCAGTGCTGCCCCATCGGCTCGTACATCCAGCCCGTGCCAGGTGGGCTGGCGGCGTGGGGCTGCTGGCTACGCGCTGTGCAGGCAGGGGCAGACGGGGCTCACGGGAGGCCGTGATCCCCTACTTGGGTGCCCCACTGGCCCGCCCGCCCGTTCACTGCCACGTCGCCTGCCGCCGCTGCCTGTCGCAGGCGTGACGCCAGGTTACGGTGACGAAGTCATCTTTGCTGACGGCACCTTCATCGACGGCTCCACCGCGGAGCTGAGCGCCGACGGGCCCATCCGCCCGCCGTACGTGGTGTACTGCCAGGTACTGCTGCACTGCAGTAAGCACTGCTGCTGTTCAGCAGTTGTACTGCTTTACGGCATCCCATGCGCTGCCCGTGGCGACTGCGCACGCTGGTTGCCAGTGCGCTGGGCTGCGGTTTTGGTTGTGGTTTTGGTGCGCTGAAAGGAGCAGGAGGGCCTGCTCTGCGTGGCATGCTGGCTGCAGGGGGGCACCCACTGGACCCACTGGGCGCATGTGCTGGAATCGGCGGTGACGGCGATGCGGCAGGCAGACGCGGCGGCGGCAGCCCAGACCAACCAGGGTTGACCCGGGCCATGTATTGCCACATTTCATTCCACTTGCAATGCCATTCCCTCATTTCCGCTTTCTCGCCCAATCTTTACAAGTCAACCAGCATATATATGCAGATTGGAGGGCAGGTGACAACAGATGAACAACACGCGAGAACTGTGCAGATCTGCTAGGTGAAGCATGCAGGTCGGGTCAACGGCAACAGCTAGCCATCCAGCAAGAGCTTTGAGGAGGTTCAGGCAGCAAAGAAAGTCTGTGCAAATGAGACGCCGGCGCGGCAGACGGGGCACAGCGGCTGCTTGGAGGCCATGAGGCCGTCGGCGCAGCCGCGGCACAAGGCGATGTGGCCGCAGGGGATCAGCACTACGCCTCGCCGCTCCTCCCAGCAAACGATGCACTCCCAGCTGTCTGACTCGCCTTGCCCAGCGTCGCCCGCATCAGCAGGAGTGGGCGCTGGAGTCGGGGCGGGGGCAGGGGCAGGAGCGTCTTGCGGCGGCGTGGGAGGAGCAGGCGTGGCCGGCACTGGCACCGCCGAGGAAGCCGGCGGGGTGCCTGGCTGGCTGTGGCCACCGGCGGCGCTCCAGCTGCTGCTGGCGCCGCCACCGACTGCCACCGGCGCTTCAACATGCAGCGGTTGGACGCTGTCGGCCGGCGCCTCCCGCTGATAGGCTGTCGGCGAGGCTGCGCCGCCGTCCTGCCAGCCAAACTCGCTGGGAAGCTCTGCCGCTGCATGGGGTGGCAGCATGGCCTCCAGGATGTCGCTCAGGGAAGGCAGCTGCGGGAGAGGCAGCAGCACAGGTGGCGGGGGCGGGGCCACTGCGTGCGCCACCACTGGCGGTGGTACGGCTGCGGCTGTGGCTGGCGCGGACAGGATGGCGTCTGCCGTCGCCTCCTCAGCTTCCGCATTGTCGTCGGCGCTGGCCGAGTTGTTGGCTGGGCCGGCCTCGCCGCTGGCATCTGCCGGCGACGGCACAGCCGCAGCGTCTGCTGCTGGATGCCCAGCGGGGCCAGCCGCGGATGCGCCTGGCTCAGAGATCGCGGCAGGGTCTGCCGGTGCTGCTGCCTCGGCCTGGGCAGCCACAGCGCTGCTGCTGGCTACCTGGGATGCATCGCCCTCAGTCGGACGCTCTGCAGGGGAGGGGGCTGTCTTCGCACCCCGCTGGCGCCGTGCAGAAGCACGCTGCTCATTGGCTGTCTCAATCTCTGCTGCACTGGGCGCCGGGATGTCCTGCTGCTTGCCACCAGGCTGGTGGGCAGGAGGTCTGCTGCTAGCTTCTCCTGTGCTGCTGGATGAGGTGACAGGCCCGGTGGATGAGCCAGTGGAGGTGGGCCGCGGCTGTGAGGCTCTCCCACCACGGCCATCCGTGGCTGACGCTGCTCCCTTGTGGCTGCTCCCCTGCTTGCGACGGTGTGCATGCTGACGCTGGGCATGGGCTGCCTGCCTGACCTGCTGGGCACGCCTCGCCTTGGCACGCAGGCGCTGTTGCCTGCTCATGTACAGCCGTACCGCCTGCCAGCCTGCACCAGGACGCTCGTGTCAAACGTTGAGCGGCAAGGGAGCACATAAGAGGCAGCAGGCAGCGGCCGCAGCGCAGGGCACGGGCTGAGTGGAAAGCAGCAGCCTGGAGCACCCTCAAGCCCACCTGCCAGGGGGGCGGCGAGGAGGCCCAGCGCCGCCAGCGCATTGGCCAGATGGCTGGCTGGCACGTCTGGCTCCTCCTCCCACACGTCTGCCTCGCAGAAACCCTCCTCCTCCTCATACCCAGCTGGCTCTGCCCTCCCCAGCCCGCAGCTGCCGGTGGCGGCAGGATCCACCAGGTGTGCCGCCTGTGCCAGTGCCGTCTCGGCCACAGGGTCGGCATACTGGGCGGCATCCACCCAGGGCGTGCTGGCCAGGCGCTCGGCGGCGGCCGCCGCCAGCTGGCGCCCCACCCCCTGCGCGCCGCTGCCGGGCAGGCGCCGACTCTCGAAGCCGTGCAGGCCGCGCAGGCCGGGGTGACCGCGCAGGAATCCCCACCTGCATGCATTGCACAGTGGAAGGGCGTGTGAAGGAGCAGGAGGAGTTGGAGTTGGGTAAAGTGCTTCTCAACAGCTCAAATAACGCCGACAGCTGGCTGCCGGCTCGCGCACCTGATGATGGGGCTTGCCAGCATGGCCTGGGGCTTGTTGTCCTGGTGCAGCGGGCCCAGCAGGCTCCTCTCGGCACGCTGGCACTCCTCGCTGGCCGCCAGCCGCGCTTCGGAGGGCATGCTGAAGCTGTCGTATCGGGTGTGCTTGGTAACGCAGTCCTCTCCCGCCAGGCCCACGGTCACAGACAGCAGCAGCTCTTCATGCTCGACATAGCCCGGCAGGCTGCCAGTCAGCATGCGCCACAGCGGCATGGCCTTGGGGGCGCTGCAGACCAGCATCTCGTCAAAGCTCTCGGGCCAGGCGCACAGCCAGCCTGCAGGAAGGCAGCAGCAAGCAGCAACTTCAGCAGGTCCAGGATCTGGCTGGTGCTGGCAAGCCGCGCCGGAAGCCGCATGTGCCGGCAAGGGCAACAGGCGGGCTGTGCAACAGGCGGGCTGGGCTGCTTGTCTTGCAGCGCCGCATCCTCACTCACTTGCGTTCCAGCCCGTCGCGCCCGAGCCCGTTCCCGGCTGTACAACGAAGGACACATTGAACACCAACTCTTGGCCGCAGTGCTCTGGCGGCGCCCACAGGCGCACGCCGAAAGCCACATCCTTGTGCAAGGCCTGGACGATAGGATACCTGCAGGCGTCAGGCAGGACAGCGGCGGCGGCAGCGGCAGCCATGGTTCCAGTCAGCCGCCACCTCGGCGTCGCCTTTGCCTGGCCTTGCTGATCAGCACTTGCTGATCAGCAAGCGCTCGCATTCATGAATGCGAGCGCTCTTAGTAGTGGACGGGCTTGTCTGAAAGTCCCTGCCTGAGCTCAGGGCGCTCGCTCACCAGGCATACCCCGCCGCGACGAATGCCCTGGACTCGGCGTGGTGCCACTGGGGCTCTTCGGGTGTGGAAATGTATTCGCTGATGTCGAACCACAGCTTGGGCACCGCCCACTGCACATCACGGCAGGACGAATCCAGTGCTTGCTTGCTTGTGTGGGCTTAAAGTCTGGTAAAGCAAGAACTAGCTTGCAACATAGACTCCCCGCCGAAACGGGACGGGAACCGGGCGAAAGCAGAGAAAGCAATAAAACAGGGGTGGAGCAAGGCGACATGCAACGCAAGCAGCTGACAGGGCACGCATCGAAACGTGTGTATGACTGGCAAAGTGGCATGGCGCATTGGGGAGAAACGCAACGGTACGGGAGCATGGGCTGGCCAAACGGCAGTGCGGAACGCTAGGTCACTAGAAAAGCAGGGAAAGGCGCACTATGTATGCAATGAGGGCAGCCCCGGCTCGGGGCCGTTGAGAAAGCAGTGGGCGGGAGGGGGGAGGCCCCGGTGTGGGCGGGCCCCATCGAGGGGGGATGGGGCGCGCAAGCGGCCAGATGGGGCGGGGCGCGGGCGGCAGTGGAGTCCTGCGGCTGGGTGGGAT